AGACCTCCATGATGGGCACTGGCAGGGTATATAGGGTGAGGGAGACCTCCCATTATGGGCTCTTTCAGGGTGTGTAGGGTGAAGGAGATCTCACTTGTAGGGTGCTGGCGAATACAGGGGGCTAGGGAGACTTCAGTGTGGATGTTGTGCGGAATGTAGAAGGGAGGACAGGAGGAATTCTTGTTTACTCTATATAGGATGTCTCTTTTTTGTTTTTTTTTTAATATTTATTTATTTATGTATCTTTAGTTTTGGGTGGATACATTAGCTTGTTTTTATGTGGTGCCGAGGATCGAACCCAGTGCCTCATGCATGCTAGAAGTGCACTCTACCACTGAGCCACCACTCCAGCCTCTAGGATGTCTCTTGTGGAGATTGTTGAGGGAGTGGATGGAAATCACACAGATTTTTAAATCAGTGGATAGAAGAACACCTTGTTCTCCACATCTGATGTCTTCTGTGTATATTGCAGAATGTAAAGATTGGAAGAATACAGTTTGTTGAATGAGAGGACAGCAAGTTCACATGTTCTTGATTGAGCAGGAAGGAGAACAGTTTGGTTCTTTCTACATTGTCACTACATGACTCTGTTCACTGTTTAAACAAAAGAGAATTCTCACTTATACTAGGACTTGCAACCACTGTGGACACTTGAAAATTCTGGCGCACTCCTGCCTTTTGGAAAGGTTTTATTCTAAAAATCCGAGGCACCCGGGGTGTTGAAGATCCTGTGCTGTCCAGTTTTATCAAAGTTTGCTATCCCAGCTAAAAACCCAGAGACCAACCTGTTGGTCTGGGAGTGTGTCTCAATATGTGCAGTGCTTTCCTGGCATGTGGCCCTGCACATACCACACCCACACCACACTCACACATACACACTAACCCTCTGGAGGGACTCACAGAGCACAGAGGTGACTTGGCACTGATTTGGAGTGAGAAGATGGAAGCTCATGTTGTTCCCCTCACTTAGTCCAACTCTGGCACCTTCAGCAGACTTTTGGTGGACTCTAAATGGACATCAGCTGCATCTCAGTGGAACTACTATTCATCATGCTACAGTGAAACTGATTGTATCTGAAGTTAATATTGGCAGGAAACCTACAAAAACTGCCAAGTTGGTTTTCAGGTCCACAATGCAATCAGGGAGAAGTCATAATAGTCGAACCTGATGGGGTGGAGCCCCACGAGCCCTTGTATATCTTTGGAGAATTTAATCCAGCTCTTTCTTTCCATGGGGCAGACCCAGGGAAAGTGTGTGTGTACATGTGTATCTGTTTGTCTGTCTCCAGGATGCATTGAAGCACCTCATTGTCCAGAGCTTCAGCCCTTACAGCTACTTCACGTTACCTTATGTTATAGTCACTTTATGAAATAGTGTAATGGGCTGAATGTTTGTTTCTCCCCAAAATTCATATCTAAATGCTTCCCCCTCCCCACATGATGGATGAGAGTAAGGCCTTTGGAGGCAATTTGGTTGGGAGGGTGGGGCCTCCATACATGTGATTAGTGCTTTTGTCCCACAGGCCTGAGGGAGATCCATCAGCCCCTCTATCAAGTGGGGAGGTATAGCCTGAGGGCAGCCTTTCATGAAGAAGTGGGTTGTCACCACACACCCAATCTGCCAGTGCCTTGGTCTTGGACTTTCACCCTCTAGAACTTCGGAAATAAATTTCTTTTTATCAGCCACTTTTGTATTTTGCATACAAAATAGTGTATACTATTTTGTTACAATGACCTGAAGGGCCTGAGGCTACTTGTAATGGGACGGCCTGTGCACTTAAGGATTTTACCTCTGATAACTAGATTCTGCCCTACTTCATGCAGACTGGCAAAGTTTTGCCTGGGACTTGTGTTTTATAACTGACACTACACCAACAGAATCTTCCTCACACAGCACCTTCCTGAGCAGCCAAACCTGGAGACCTGTGTCTATTGGGAGAGACAGGAGGAAATCTCTTATGAAATCTGTTCCCACTGGAATAAATATGGTTAAAGAAGAATCTCCCGCGGAGGTTCTTCAGTAGAGCCTCTCATACTTCAGAGTCAGCAGTGCCTAACTTAGGAAGTGGGCAGCAGACCCAAGTCTCAGGAGCAAGCTCAGGTAGAAGAGAGCTTCTGCTCAAGAGTTTGGGCCAAGACCTTTGAACTTCCCATTCTGCTTGTGATCTGTTTCCTATAGTAATTATTCTGATTTTCTGTAGGCCCCTAGTTGTGGTACACTCATAACAGCCCCGTTTGTCTCCTTTCCTCTTTGTGATACTTGTTAAGTCAGCAAACTACCACATTTTGGCATGCTTTTTTTTGTGTGTGTATGGTCGTAAAGATTTTCCTAGAAGAGAGACCAGCAGAACTTAGCCTTGAGTGGGTGAATGGACACTAGGTCAGGTAATGGGGCAGGAGTTCCATGAACAGTGTGTGTGGTGTTTGGGGGAGCAGGAGAAAGCTGAGAGCTGGTTAGTTCTGAAAATTTCCTGCCATGCTGACCAATGGGCTTGATCCTGAGGGGATTTGGAATGAAGGCAAGAAGGTTTTGATGTGCTCAGAGCTACCTTCCAATAGATTACTAAGTGACCGGCTGGGGAATGTGCCTGGGTCAAGCTGGAGGTCGGCCAGGAGATGACCAGTCTATATACAGTACAGATGAGGAAACAGACTTGAGGAACCCTTAAGATGTGAACCAAGGACCTGGAGCTGGGAAAGCACACTGTTTACTAGGAGAGCCTGCAGAGGAGGGCAACTTGGAGCATTTTGAATCTAAGGTGGCTGTGGGACCCTCAAGTGGAGCTGCCTAACTGGTAGCCAGAAAAACTAAACTGAAACATAGGAAAGTGATGGAGATATTGGTTTGGTTCAAGGGATGATGTTTTTGATTGAGTCTAGTAAGTGAGAATATGCAGAATAAAAATGAAAAGCATGGGATTTCCAATACCTAGTAACAGCCTGACAGCAGCAAGTGGGTAGTGAACATATATTGAATGAAGAAGGAAAGCAGGCTGAATCTTGAGGACACCAACATTCAAGGATGGATGAGGAAGGCAAGAGAATGAGAGGCTGGAGGAGATTAAAGAGCAAGTTGGGGAGTTGAGGAGGAAGGGCTTAGAAAAGGGAGTGTGCACAGGTAGTCACAGAGGAAAGTCAGGGCCGCAAGCTGAGGATAAATTTGTTCTTGTGTTCAACAGTTTGGAGGTCACTGCTGACCAAGCAGTTTCTGCAGAGTGGTGGTTCAAGAGATGAGGATGAGGAGTGAAGTTGCCGTGAGATGAACCATCCTAGATTCAGAGGACTATCTGCCAAGGCTGGTGGCCAGTCGATTGCCCACCTGTGTCTGAATCTTGTTTGCCTTGCCTTCTGCTGAGAAGGGAAGGGAAGAAATGAGGTGAGGCATTTGAGAGCACCTAGGACCAGAGGCATAATTTACACTTTTCCTCTCACTCCCACTTTCTCAAGGAAAGTACACGGGAACAGCACACCTATTTACCACTGTAATTCACAGTCAAATTAAGGCATAATTTATAAACAAATAGGGCAAACTCTCCAACAGTTATGACTTATCTTCTTTAAGGAAATTAAAGCAAATTGTGGACAAGTGGAATCAGCCCAGCACTTAACACAAATTAAAAATTGATGTGGACATTTATTGAGAGCCTAGTATGTGTCTAGTCACTGGGCTAAATTGAGCAGATGACACCAGGAGAGAGAGAAAAGCTACAATTTGGGGAGCACGGATGATGCACAAGGAGGCTCTGGACAGGGCAGGAGAGATCCAGTCATGAGCAAGTGATGAACAACCTTGGGCTGGACATAGTCTGATAGTTCTCTGAACCTAGACAAAGCCTGATGGTTGTCAGTAGACAGGAGTGTATGTAGGGCCAGGAGGCAAGGGAGCCCAAATCTTGGTGTGGTTTCATGTAAGGAGACTTCCAGAAAATGACCTCTGTGGAAAAGGAGAAGGGGCAGCAAAGATGCTGTCCAGAGTTGCCAGACTTGGAGAGCTCTGGAATGGTCTTTGAGGCACCGGAATAGGACAGGAGCTCTGGTGGATGGATTGTCAAGCATTTTAAAAGTAAGTGTGTGGATTTGCCCTTCTTAACTCTTAAGCTTCTTGGCGGTCTGCTTCCCACCCTCATTGCCCTCTGGTGCAGAGCCATCAGAGGAGCAATCCACGCGAGGGTCTTGGTAACTGAACGATGGAGACCAAGAACCACTTGTAGAGCTTGTACACCATGTTTTTGCTCAATTTTATAAATATTCTATTATTATTACACACCTTAAAAAATCTGGGAAAAAGAGTTTATACAAATGCATACAAGTAACCCTTTTCTTACACAACATGTAGTAAATGTATCTTAAAAATCGTAATTCTCAAAAGGTGTGACATATTTTTCTTAGAGAGAGTATGATGAAGTTAGGAGGCCCTAATCCGACGTTCACCAAGATATGTCAATCAAGGACACACTTGTCCAAGTTCTGAGAGCCAAAGTCCTATTCTCCAATGGCAAGGCAGTATTCTCACAGCTGGTTTCCTATTGGCCGAGATGTGGGCGGGGCCACCCAGTCTTGGGGCTGTCACTAGCCCCGCCCCCATTCCATGCAAATGAGGCCAAAGCTTTGGGTAGACCATGTGACTGGCCACGTGGTTGATGTCGCACTTTCCCCACCCCTGGATGACGCCATCACTAGCCAAAACTCTCACGAGAGCTTGTCCAGTGGAGGTAGGAGGCTGGCAGGACCGTTCAGTGGGCCAGGAGGTCTTAAAGTTGTGTTGGGGGGGTCCCGGTACGCCCCCACCCCTCTCCAGAGCCTCGAGTGCTAAAAGACCCAGGGGCCCAAAGGGGCCTGTGGGAAGAGTCCAAGGGGCCTCAAGCACAGTCTGCGCCCATTGGCTGGCTGCGCCGACATGCAAATGAGGCGACGTCACTTCCTGAGGCAGCTGAGCGCCATCTTCCCTTTCTGGCGCGCGGGAGGAGGGACGGGGCGCGGGGTGGGCGCGGGCGGGGGTCCCGCCGCGCGGGGCGGAGGACGCGGCGGCGCTGCGAGCGGCGGCGGGACGCGGCGCTCCTCGCGCCCGGCGGTAGGTATGGCCCGGTCCGCGCGGCTCAGCCCCCGGTCCGTTCCCCGCGCGCCGCCCCGCCGTCCACCCTGCCGTCCACCCTGCCGTCCACCTGGCGGTCCACCCGGCCGTCCCCACCGTCGTCCGCCCCGCGTCCGCCCCGCTGCGACGCCTCAGGACCTCGGGACATTCGCTGTGCCCGACTCTCGGTCCCCGACGCGCCCTCCCGCCCCGCCCGCCGGTCACGTGGGAGCGGGGCCGCCCCGGGGGAGGGGGAGGGGCGGGGACAGGGATGTGGCGGGGGGGATCGGAGGGCGACGGGGGACGGGGAGGGTGGGTCAGAAGGGACGGGAGGACGAAGACGAAGGGAACGGGTGGACGGAGCCAGAGGGCAGTGGGAGAGGGGTCCGGGGCGGCGCGGGCAGGATGCCCTCGGCAGCGACCCCGGGAACCGCCCAGAAGCGCCTCCCTCTCGGCGGGTCAGCCGTGCCCGGCCTCCCGCGGCAGCCGCCGACCGGCGGGAGGACCGCGGGGCGGTAGGGCCGGCGGGCCACGCCCCAAGCGTCGACCCCGTTCCTTCACCGTGGCTGGGTGTCGAAGATTGATGAGCACAGGCCGACTCTTTAAAATGAAACTTTGTATCTGCCATTGTTGATTGCCTTGAAAGAGATCCCCTTTACAGAATTTCTACAAGCATTTGGCCTAGGAACATCGAAAACTGTAACTGCCATTCAAGTATGGCGTTGTTGCAGAGCAGTACATAATTACATATTTTATATATCTTTGATTTGAATGGAAGACTCTTCTGAGTGCTATTAAAACTTCTAAAATGGAAATAAAAATGGTGATAACTGCCTCAGGAGTTGTTGAGGAGACTCGAGGAGTAGGGGAAGCTGGTACCTGCAACCTGCTGGTGGTACTGATGGGATGGTGGTGAAGGTTGTTGGAGGTGCCCACGTTTTATCAGATGGGGTCTTGGGGTCTGGTGGGGTGTGGGGATGAGAAAAGAGGACCTGTGTTAAGAAGTAGGAGTTGTGAAAAGCTTGTTTGGCATTGGTTGGAAGTCGAATCATTTATGTGTGACTTACCTAATGATATTACCTGGTAATGACCATTTATTAGTGTTTTAATATTTTGGGTAAAGGTGGTACACTGAATCAGTGAATCTTTAGCCAAGAAGTGATAGATCTGTATTTAGAAAGGTTGGGCCGGAGCTGGGAGCAAAGCTTAGTGCAGGCTTTAGTTGTGAGATGGGAGGAAGTGAGGGCTGGATCTTTGGTTATGGGGGATGATGACAGTTATGCAAGATTTTTAGTTGAAGAGAGCTTGGGATTTTTGGAATACCTTTGAAATTTTGAAGCCAAGCTTGCAGTATGAAAACATCAATGGTAGAATCTTTCTGTGGTTTGAACCCAGACCTTCTGGTTCTTGCTTCTCTGTATGGCACAAATATTTGTGTTTTTAAAGTTGGTTTAAAAGAAAGCCCTGTATCCTAATAGTTGGAACATTTTGATTAGTATTTTGGAGATAGCCAAGTATGTTCTACTCAGTCATCCTAACAGCTGCCCACAAAGTAGACCACACTCACTCTGTTTTACAAGGAGGCAACTGAGGCCCAGAGAGACTAAGTAATTTGCTAAGATCACACAGCTGATAAAGTGTCCAGATAGCCTCAGCTTGTGCTGGGATGTTGTGTTCCCTCCCCAAAACGAAGGCCTTTAAAGAGTAAGCTCTATCTTATAAAGTGTTTCAACATTTTTATAGAGTTTGTATTTTCCATAATGAACTATTCTTAAATGATCAGGATACCAAAAACATCAAATGAATACCCTTTTGAGGAAAATGTTTATATACATCACTGGAATTTTGTGGTAATTCCATGTCTAATTGCAAGCTGAGGCTGGAGGCGTTGTCCTGCAGGAGGCTGACAGGGAAGCTGGCTAGCTGCAGGAGCTGCTGTAGTGCAGAGGTGAAGTGCAGGCAGGTTCCACAATGTGGAAACCACCCATTTCTCTCCTAGCTCATCAGTCCATTGGGCATTTTATATGGAATCTTGTGTTAGAACAGATTTAAAAAATTATGGGTAAATGAAAGGAATCTTAAAAACCTTTCTTGAAAGTAGAACCTTCTGTAATTAACCTGTTGTTATTTTTCTTTCCCAAAAGCAGACAGTGAATTGCTAAAAACAAAAACAAAACAAAAAAAACTTTCTTCTGTCCATTAAAATAAAAAAGGGATCTGTGTGCTTGTTTTTTGGGGGGTACCACAATATCAATGGTGAGGGAGTTAGGGGCATTTACATTTAGGAGAAAGAGCAGACTGACAGTTCCCAAGCATGACAAATCACTACAGAACCTGTTTGAGACATGCCAGGTCTGACACCTCATTTCAGTAGCCCCTCGTGTGAGAACTGGACACTTGCTTCTGGGAGTGTACCTTCCTGGTGGCCTTGGCTTTCAGACCTTGTAATGAAGGTGGTTGTCTTGGCAGCAGTCCAGTAATTTCCTTGTTTGAGATGGGTGAATGAGGATCCTCCCTGTAGATTTGGAGAAAGAACCCCAGAGGGTAGAGGTTAGAGGTGCTTGAAGGAGAAGGTCAGGCAAGTTTGATAGAGCCAGGCACATCTGATAGAGTGGCCAAATTTGTGTTGCATCTTGCTTTGGCCACAGTAGCTAGTTGGCTCGATAGGGATCTTGTGCATGGATTTTTGAAATACATCATGAGGTTCCTGACAGCTCTTCTGCTAGAGTGTGACCTTTGGAAGGCAAACAATTCCATACATTTCATTTAAAAAATTTATCTTCATTTCTGTGAGTTATATCCCCCAGTTCTTCAATTAAAGCTCTACTTGTCTGAAACATTGTTACTGCCCAAAGTTCCTCCCTCTGACAATAATCCTCAGTCTTCCTCTCCCCAGTTTAATTTGTCTCATTTGAATTTACTTAAGCAAAGTATACTACCTATATTCAGTGTTCCCTCCTTTATCTCAGTTTCTGATGTGATCTCTTGGCCTGCAGTGTGTTGGGCCCCAGCTACCCACAGCCTTCCCTCCTGTACCTCAATGGTGCAGTCCTCCCGACCTGGTTTTATTTGTTTAATGAGTATGTGCTGTGCCCTGCCCTGAGGGGGTTCAGTCCAGTAGAGGGCAGAACTAAATGGGTAGTTGCAGCAGAAAGGGAGTGGGGAGGGGGTTGTGCTGGTGATCCAGCATTGGGGCTCACAGCCTGGTAGTGGGGGGACTGCAAGAGGGATGTGGGAGGGAGACTACTTGCCTAGAAGTTGCCCTTTAAATTTATGGAAAGTGTAGAAATTGTGATTTTTTTTTTTTCCAGCTTGTTCTCACTATTGCCTGTTATTGATCTTAAATGTTATTTTGACAATAAAAATTTAGCACTTGTGGGGCTGGGATTGTAGCTCAGTGGTAGAGTGCTTGCCTAGCACATGTGAGGCACTGGGTTCTATCCTCAGCACCACATAAAAACAAAAAAATAAAGGTAATATGTCCATCTGCAACTAAAAAGAAAAAATAACATTTTTTTATTTAACATGGCATTTCTTCAACTAATGAAGTTGAGTAACGAAAGTGTTTGCCACTTGAACTTGACTAGCAAATTTCTTTTTAGCTTTTAGAATGAATTTACACATTTTTTTGAAATAGTTGTGGATTTATGGAAACATTACAAAGAACTTTTCTCCTTGAATCCTTTGCGAGTAAGTTGCTAGCTGAGGTGGCACATTACCCCCGATACTGCCTCTTTGCTACAAAGAAGAACATTCTCCTACATAGCCATGACAAGACCATCAAAATCAGGAAAGCAGCACATGGCGCCTAATCTCAGGTGCCTTGAAAATTTTGCAGCTTTCTAATTACATCATTTGTAGGAAAGGATCTAGTTTAGAATTGCTTGTTGTGTTTAGTTATCGTAAGTCTCCTTCAATCTGGAATAGTTCCAGTTTTTCCTTCCATGATATGTTTACTAGAATGTGTAATTGGTGGATTTTTAGTAAATTTATAGAATTGTGTAGCCACCACAATCTAATATTAGGACATTTCTAGCATCTCCCCATCAACCCTGTCCATCTACTTACCTATTTCTATCCTCCAACTACTGTTATGCCCTTCATCTCTAAATTTTTCTGGACATTTCATATAAATAGATCAAGATGATACGGGGGCTCTTGCATATTGTCTCTTGCTTAGCATGATGATTTTGGATTGATGTTGTAGCATATGCTAGTACCTTGTTACTTTATATTGCCGAGTAGTATTCCATTTTTTATTTGTTCACCATTTGATGGGCACACTGGTTTTCTGCTACAATGAACTGTGCTGCTTCATGTGATCTTGGCATTAAGGGTATTGTGGTTGGTTGGTTTGTGTACCGTAGGTGATCTTGGCAGGTGATCTTGGCGTTGTGGGTAAAGTGGCTGATTGACTTGTATGCGTTGGGTGGTCTGGGAGTCTGGGTTTTGAAGCTGATTGACTTGCCTACCTTTGGTAGTCTTGATGACCAGGGTATTGTAGTGGTTTTACACCTTGGGTGGTCGTGGTGTTGTGGGTATTGTGGCTGGTTGACTTGCTTGCCTTGAGTAATCTTGGCAATCTGGGTATTATAGCTGGTTGACTGGCATGCCTTAGTTGGTCTTGGCATTAATTGGGTATTGTGGCTGTTGTTTACATTTTGGGTGGTTTTGGCATTGTGGGTATTATGGCTGATTTTTTCACCTTGAGTGGTCTTAGTGTTGTATTGTGGTTGGTTGACTTGCATGCCTTGGGTGGTCTTGGGGTTCTGGGTATTGTGGCTTGTTGTCTTGTTCGTCTTGGGTGGTCCTGGCATTCTGGGTGTTGTAGCTAATTGTCTTGTGCAGTATCTCTGATCTGGGCTTGTGTGCCAGACTGATACTGATCAGTATTTTGTGGGGAGGACTGCATCCTGGTCTTCATCACACTTTCAAGTTATTTATGTCAGTGTGGACTTGAGCTTTAGTTTGTGGGCTCTATTCCACTTACTATTGCTGTTTACAAACCTCTTCAAAACTAGAGTAAAAAAAGTACTATTAAAATGGCTCACCAGTTCTGTGAGTCAGAATTCATACCACTTGCCTTTCTTCAGTGTGGAGAGACTGGGGGGCAGCAGTAACTTGGCAGTGGGCCGGTGGTGGTGTCTGAGGTCTCCTCCCCTTACTCCCATGGGCTGTTGCATCTTTACAAGCCTGGTGTCTGGATTTCAAGTGTTGTCTCCCTGAGAGAAATGTACTTTTTTTCTTTTTTTTAGACAGTTCTGGGTATATAATCCAGAGTGTCACATGCAAGGTGAGAGCTCTACCACTGAGCTGTGTCCTCAGTCCTTGTTTTACACTTGAGATGAGTTTTCTTAGTTGTCCTGACTGGCCTCCAGTTGTGATCCTCCTGCCTCAGCCTCCCAGGGAGCTGGGATTATAAGTGTGCACCATGTTGTCTGGCTTGTGTGGTGTTTTTACCATCTAGCCTGGAGTCTTTGCTGGCATTGCTGCCTCCATACTTTATTGATTCAAGAGGGCTGGTATAGATGCTGCGCTCAGGGGAGGAGCTTCCAGGTCCTGTGTTAAGAAGCTCATGTGATGGGAAGAACTGTTGTGTGCTTCTTTGTTAGTTCCCTTAATTGGTGGGTGCTGAGGTTGTCATGGCATTAGTGCTGTGGGCATCAGAGCTGGGTTCCTTTTGCATCATCCTTCTCTGAGAATTGCCTTATTTTCTGGCATAAGATGTTTTTGGCTCATCTTAGCCTTTACTGTAGCTCAGCCCTGGAATTGGCCATTTTACCAAGGAACTCTGGTTCTTTTTAATGAAAGTGGTGTTTAGAAGTTGAGATGGGTGTGCCCACTCCTGCTGGGATGTGTGACTGGGATCTCTACTGGACAGAGCATGGAATGTGTATATTTACATATACACATCTTTCTGCCTGTTGAAGACAGATCATATCATAGCTTCTACTATGGTCAGTTTCCACATGGTTTATATTGGTTTTATGCTTGTTTGGATGTTTAAATGATAGTTTTAATGAGATAATATGCCATGTAGTTCACTCATTTAAAATGTGCAGCTTAGTGGCTGTTGGCATATTCAGAGTTAGTGGCTGTTGTGCATGTGTTGGCTACATTGATTTTTTTTTTTTTTTTTAAGAGAGAGAGAGAGAGATAGAGGAGAGAGAAAGAGAAATTTTAATATTTATTTTTTAGTGTTTTGGCGGACACAACATCTTTGTTTGTATGTGGTGTTGAGGATCGAACCTGGGCTGCACGCATGCCACGCGAGCGCGCTACCGCTTGAGCTACATCCCCAGCCCCGGCTACATTGATTTTTGAACATTGTGGTTCCAAAAAGAAACCCTTCTCAGCCATCACCTCCCAGTTCTCCCTCCCCAGGCCAACATGGTTGTGCTCTCTGTATGTAGATAGGTCTTCTGTACGCTTCACACATGGACTCACCCTCTGCTCCTCAGAGTGCTTTTAGGATTTGTCCATGTGGGAACGTGTAGCAGGTGCCTTGTTTCTTCTGATGGCCCTAAATATGGACTCATCCATTATTTATTCAGTGGCACTTGTTGGCCCTCTGAGTTGTTATGCTTTTGGGCTGCTGTGAGCAACCTGCCCTGAACATCCTGGTCCAGATTTTTGGGTGGATATGTGCTGTTTCTTTCTCCTGGGTGGGCTTTTTAGTTCAACTGGCGCCGGTACTGTGGATCTTCAGGGGCACTGCCTGGCTGTTTTCCAAACTGGCTACCATTTTTTACCTTACCCTTAGCAAGAATTCCAGTTTCTCCATATCCTTGCCAATACATCTGACTTGGGCTTGTGTGCCAGACTGATACTAATCAGTATTTTTGGTTTTGATGCTTGAGGGCACTGTGTTGAGTTTGTTTTTATTTTTTTAATTGTTGGCATTTGGTGGATGTGAAGTATTTTGTTGTAGTTTTGATTTCAATTCTCTAGTGACTAAAGATACTGAACATCTTTTTATGTCCTATTTTTTTTAATAAATTTTTTAGTTGTAGATAGACACAATACCTTTATTTATTTTTATGTGGTACTGAGGATCGAACTCAGTGCCTCACATGTGCTAGGCAAGCACTCTACCAGTAAGTCATAACCCCAGCCCTTTATGTCCTGTTTTTATCTGCTGTAGAAAAGTGTTCAGATCCTTTGCCCATTTGAAAATTGGATTATTGGTCTTTCAGTTATTGAGTTATAAGAGTTCTTTTCTGGATATAAGTTCCTTATCAGAAAAAAGATTTGAATTTTTTTTCCATTTTGTGTGATTTTTGCTGTTTTGATGGTGACATAGAAAGCATTAAAGTTCTTAATTTTTTTTTTTAAAGAGAGAGAGAGAGAGAATTTTTTAATATTTATTTTTTTTTAGTTATCGGTGGACACAACATCTTTCGTCTGTATGTGGTGCTGAGGATGGAACCCGGGCCGCACGCATGCCAGGCGAGCACGCTACCTCTTGAGCCACATCCGCACACCCAAAGTTTTTAATTTTGATAAAATCTGTTTAATCTATTTTTTTTCCTTTGTTTCTAGTACTATTTTGTGTCATAAGAATCTATTGCACCTCCAAAGGCATGAAGATTTATGCCTCTGTCATCTTTCTTTTTGTGATGCTGGGGATTGAACTCAGGGCCTTTGTACATCCCTGACCCCCACTTTTTAATTTTACTTTGAGGCAGTGTCTTGCTGAGGTACTCAGGCTGGCCTGGAACTAGCCATCCTCTTCTTGCCTTGCAGTGCCTCCATTTTCTTGCAGTTTGTGGCTGCGCTTGTCCCTGTGGCTGTGTGACCCACTTGGCACTGCGGGTGGTATGGGGAAGGGAGCCTCCTCCTTCTGCATGTCACTTTCCAGTTTTTCCCAGCTCTGTTTGTTGAAATTATACTTTATTCCTAGTGCTTAACCCAACCCTGTTAAAAACCGTATTTTTGTGTATTTATCTTCTTACAGTTTTGTTTTCTTTCCTTTTAAGGAAAATTTCAAAAATGTTTCAAATTCCTGTGGAAAATCTTGACAACATCAGAAAGGTGCGGAAAAGGGTGAAAGGAATTCTTGTGGATGTCGGGCTTGACAGCTGCAGGGAGTTGCTGAAGGTAAGAGGATGTCAGCAGCAGGCTGAACGATGTGGTTGGCTGGCAGGGAGGTCGGGAGCTGGTGGGAGAGTGGGTGTGCCTCCTCCAAGTGGCTGTGACGTGTCTTTCTAAGTGAGCAGTTTAAGCTGTTCAAGTTTTGAGCTACTTTTAGGAGGTGATTTTTATACTTATTAGTGATAAAAAAAATACTTGTTTTTGATGCTTGAGGGCCCTGTGTCGAGTCACATTGTTTTAGTAAAAGAAGTTGCAAACACTGTCTCAGCTTTAGTGGGCATGCAATGCACATGTGGTGTGCTAGCTTCTTTCCTTTTTTATTTTGTCCTGATTCATGAACATAGTATGTGCAGTCTTACAAAGTTCCAAAATTCAGGCTTTATTGATAAATTTGATTTCTTTGAATTTTTCCTTATAATATTGAAACTAGATGGTGGGCATATATGGTTTAAAAATATTAAGTAAGGGCACATACCTACCCTTACAGTCATTGATAGTTTTTTACATGTGTTGTTCATTGCTGTAGAAATAGGAACAATGGCTGTTTTGAATTTCTAAAACTCGTAAAGAATTTGGTTCAGAGCATGACGGCCTGGAAAGAGCTCAGTTTCTTAATCTTGAAATTCGAGACTTTCAGCCAGATTTTTACTTATTAAAAGGCAGTCTGATAGTGAAAAGCCAATAGTTACCAGGGTTCCTGTCAGTAGTCAAGAGTTAATTTGGCTCTCAAGTAGATACATACTGTTGATTTCTGAAGGGCCGCAGAGAAGTCTCTGCTCAGACATGCTCTTCTCTGAGAGATGCTGGTCCTCACACACTGCCTTCTCCCCATGCTCTCTTCTCTCTCCTCCTCCTCTGTTTTCTTCAGAGCACTTCAACTACTTGGTGTTATTTGTTGGCACTCTGTCTTCCACTTGAACTCGAGGAGGCAAGGACCTCACTGTGGTGTTACCTATTTTTCTGCCTGTGATCAGAGTGGAGTCTGACACATGGATGCTTCACAGATATTTCTGGAATGAAGGAATAAAATTAAAACCCATATACAGAAACATTTTTATTTTATTTATTTATTTATTTATTTATTTATTTTTTGTGTGGTACTGGGGATGCATACTCTACTGCTGAGGTACATCCCCAGCCCTTTTTGTTGTGAGACAGAGTCCTGCTAAGTTGTGGAGGCTGGCCTCAAGCTTGGAACCCTCCTGCCTCAGCCTTCCAGCAGTTGGCATTACAGCTGTGTGCCACCGCATCCTGTGAGAAACATTTTAAAGAGTATGAGATTCTCATGTGAAAATGTGAGAATGGGAGGGGTGCTGGAAGAGGACTTGCTCAGGCAGAACCTTTAGTTCAGGACAGTCCTAAGATGGAAGCCTTCTGGAGGTTTCTGCAGCTCTGCCTAAGCCATACTTTATGCCCAAGGAAGGAAAGCAGGTGATTATTTGGAGATAGGATTGATAAGCTCTATTTGCTTGGTGGGTTGAGGGTAGATATGAGCCCTCCAAGGGCAGATAAGGAGTGGGGCTGGGTGATGCTTGTAGAGAACGAGACATGAACACCTAGGGATGCAGTGTGTGTAGGCCATGCAGGCTTCAAGTGGTGGCACACTAGGCACTCCCAGCACTGGTTCTGGTTTAGGGAGGGTGCTCCAGAAGGCACCCTGCAGGGTGGGAGTGTCATTTCACAAAACACTGCATGTTTTTTTTTTTTTTTTAAATTATTTTTATATACATTTTTAGTTGTTTATGGACCTTTATTTTATTCATTTATTTATATGCGATACTGAGAATTGAACCCAGTGCCTTACACATGCTAGGCAAGCGCTCTACCACTGAGCCACAACCCCAGCCCTACATGTTTTCTTTTGATCACTAGGGAATTAACCAGAAACTTTTTTTGTGTGTGTGTGTCCTGAGGATTGAACCCAAAGATGTTGTACCACTGAGCCACATCCCGAGCCCTTTTTAGCTTTTATTTTGAGACAGGGTCTTGCTAAGTAAGTTGCCCAGGCTGACCTTGAAATTGTGATCTTCCTGCCTTAGTCTTTGCAGTTAACTGAGATGGAGGCCTGTGCCATCAAACCTGGCTAAAGCCTTTTATTTTAATCCTGATTCTTAACTAATGGTGTGACCTGGAACAAATGAGTTACTCCTTGGGCCTCAGTGTCCCTCATAATCCCAGGGAAGGGATGTGGAGAACTGAAGCCAGAATGCTTGCTCCTGTCAGGCAGTGACAGTCCAGCAGAAGCTGAGACAGTCTTGGGACAGTCATTGTGCAGAGGAGGCAGAAGCATAGTGTCCAGTGGGAGCCTATTGTGGCCTTTGTGGAGGAGTTGGGAGTGAGTGTTTCTTAAGGTTTGTTTTGTGGGGTGGGATGTAGCTCACTAGCAGAGTGCTGTATAGCATGCAGGAGGCCCTGGGTTCAGTCACCAGCACTGCACAAAAAGCAGTGAAGTTTGTTTTTGTAGAGCCTAGTTAGAGTTCTCCACTGGGAAGGACTAGAGGAGGCATTCAGAAACGTGAATTTAGAAGCCCCACCAGACCACAATGAGCGAATCCAGCTTTAAGAATGTTCTGTTTGGAAACAATAATTAAAAGTTACAGAAAAGATAAGAATTAAAATGGCAGAAAGAACACTCCTGTTACCTTTGCATAAATTCACGTGTGAACACGTTTTCCCTCTTGGAGGTGACTTCTTGCCAGGTGCTCTCTCTGTGTGTATATTTTCTCTTGAGCCATTGCAGAGTAAGTTGTATACCTCAAGGCTCTTTTTACCTATATAGTGTAAATTTTCTTCTGCAGTGCCGAGATTAAACCAGGGTCTTGTGCATGTTAGGCAGGTGCCCTACCTTTGAGCCACATCCCAGCCCACTGTGTATAAATCTGAGAATATGGGTAGTTTTCTCTATTACTGCAGGGTGCTTATCAGCTTGTGTGAATGCAGCACCGAGAGGGTATTTTTGTCTAATCTATCGTCGTCCAGTGTTATTTTTCCCTTAAGTACTAGATCCAGTCAGATGTTGAATTTCATTGTTATGTCACCTTAGTCTTCACTTAATGTGAATTCAGCTTTTAAAACTGGAATTCTATTATGCGATTGTTTTCTTTGCACCCTCCAGCTTTTTTTTTGAGATTGGGGATTGCAGTCAGAAGCACTCCACCACTGAGCCACATCCCCAGCCCAATTTTGTATTTTATTTAGAGACAGGGTCTCACTTTTTGCTGAGGCTGGCTTTGAACCTGCGATCCTGCTATCTCAACCTCCCGAGCTGCTGGAATTACTGGCTTGTACCACCATGCCTGGCCCCTCCAGCTTTTTGTGGTGCTGGGGATCTGATCAGGAACTGGCTCAGGAATTCAAGAGCTCTGCCTCTGAGCTAAGGCATCAGCCTTCATTTTGTCTTCACAGATTAAATGTCAGTAACAACTACAGGTTTCATCCTCTATCCCTTAGGATAGAGGCACTTTTAGTGGCACTGAGTGTGCTCGTGAAGGTTTCCTTGGTGAGCCTGAGGAGCAAATTGAGCACCCAAATTTGTTCGAGACTATCACTGACAGAGACATGGATGCACTTCAGGGGAAACTGAGGAATTTCAATTTGCAGCTATTCAGTTAGTGAAATTATTAACTATTGAATTGAATAGGACTAATTCTTTCTTTTGTGGTGCTGGGGATTGAACCAAGGGCTTTGTGCTGCTAGGCAAGTACTCTACCACTGAGTTGCATCCTCAGCCCTGGGACTAATTCTTTTGGGGGAACATTTTTATTTTTATTAATTTGTAGTTGTGCCTATGTCTTATGAAACTTTTAAAAATTTAAGCAGCATAAAATTTTATTATAATAATTAGACACAGAACATGAAAATAAGACTCACTTATAAGCATTACCTCAAAATATCCATTGTTAACATTATGATATATTTATTTTTAAAATAGATTTTAAAAAATGGAATATATTTTATTTCTTTTTCCTTGCGAAGACAGGAGTGAACTGTACAAGAAGACGCTGCACTTGCTCTGACCTTGTATTTATTAAACTTTTTGCAGGGTAGAGCTCACTGACTTGACTTGCACCAGGGGGAACTCATGGGAAGGTTGTTAGCAGCTGGAAACGGGGTATTGTCCATGGTCCTTAGACTGCCTGCTCTGCTTTCTGGGGCACATGGTGTGATGTCACTCTGACTTCACATCTGATTTCCACAGTGCGTGTGACTCCCCCTTTCTTAGCAAGAGTTAGGACCTCAAATAGGAGGCTCTGTGGTTCCTGTCAACAGCCTGGCTTAGAAGTGAGCCTTAAGGTAAATCTAAACCTGCTGCAATATAGGGTCTTATGGAGTTTTAAGAAAATTTATACTTGCTCAGTTAAACTAAGGCTGGCTGCATAATGTGTAGGATACATGCACAATGAACATGTTGGACCTGGAGGGCTGTTCCGCCTCACATTCCCAGATAACTGCTGGTGACTTCTCTCCAGGATATGTTTGGTGCCTGGGTCTAGGATGGGCCTGAGGCCTCTGTTGGGTTGTCCTGCAAACACATCTTGCACTGCCAATGCAGGTCAGTGATGGCTGCCACCATGCCCCACCCTAGGTGTCATGGCTTGTGTTCCTTTCCAGTGCCTGCTCCCCACAACATCTGTGCCAGGCTCCCATGTGAGGCAATGTGGAATCTGGATCCCCTGACAACTTGTTTATTGTCCCAAGTAAAAGACAGAATAGAGGAGTGGTGGCTGAAGGAGGTGGGACTTTGAGGGGAGGCAGAAAGCAGCCTCAGAATGGGTCCTGGAGAGATTGGAGGGGGGACCATGTATGCTGAGACCTCAAGCCCCTGGTAGTTGCTTCATGCTTTTTAGGCTCTGGGCCACAGATGCAGAGCTTAAATTCTTAAAAATTTCAAGATGGTAACCACTGAGAATCCCCACCATAAGCCTAGGCCTGTCTACGTTGGTCCCCTTGCCTGTGGAGCCAAAATTTGCCAAAATTTTGATATATTTATTTTTAAAATAGATTTT